TGTCACGGGCTACGATTGCCGCCAAGGTACCGGCTCCGGTGGGGAGAGCAGAGAAGTGGTGGGTTTTGGGGGAGGGCAGTCCCAAGAAAGGAACCAGAGTGGTGACAGTGCCCCCTTTGCCCCCGCAGCATGGGGAGGAGGTGTCCCCCGCCGCCAGCGACCTGGCCATGGTCTTGACACGGGGGCTGAGCTTGGAGCACCAGAAGAGCAGCCGGGACTCGCTGCAGTACTCCAGCGGCTACAGCACGCAGACCACCACCCCCTCCTGCTCCGAGGACACCATCCCTTCCCAAGGTACCTGCCCTGCGGCGGCGAGGGGCACCCGGGGCCACCCAAAACGCCACCCAGAGATGGGGAGAGGACAGCAGAGGCTTTGGTGGTCCTGGGGCACGTCTGGACACGCTGGGTTTCAACAGCGTCAGCTGTGGTCACATCGCAGTGGGGTGAAGATTTCATGTGTTTTGGGGTTTTGGCGTGCGGCACAAGCACGGTGCCACGCAGTGACCGTGAGGTTTTCCAGTTAGTTGGGTGTTAGTCGGGTCTTGACGGCTACGGTTGTGCCGGGCAGTGCGGTAACATGTAGCACCACAACAGAGTGTCACTGGTTTGCAGTGTTGTGTTTGTGCGCAGCGGTTGGGTACAGGCAAAGACGGTGGCAGATGGTCGGTGGTGGCAGTGGAGGTGGCGGCTGGAGATCCAGTAACCACAGGGACGGCGTTGTGCTGCGATTGTGTTGGCGTGGTGATGGCTGAGCTGGTTGTGAGCACGTGATGGTGATGGCGGAGGTTGGCTGCGATCACGTTGTGATGGCAATGGTTGGGGTGGTTATGATAGTGACGGGTTTCACTATGACCATGGGGTGGTGATGGCTGAGGCCAGTTGTGATGGTCATGGCTGAGTTTGGTTGCGACCATATTGTGCTGACAAAGGCAGGGGCTGGTTGTGATCCTGTTGCAATGGTGATGGTTGGGTTTGGGTGTGATCTCAGTGTGAGGGTTGGGCTTGATTTTGGTTGCCTTCTGATGGTGAGGGTTTGATTTGATTATGGCTGCCTTCTGATGGTGGTGGTTGGGCTTGATTATGGTTGCTTTCTGATGGTGGTGGTTGGGTTTGGCTGTGGTTGCCTTCTGATGGTGGTGGTTGGGTTTGGCTGTGGTTGCCTTCTGATGGTGGTGGTTGGGCTTGATTTTGGTTCCCTTCTGATGGTGATGGTTGGGTTTGACTGTGGTTGCCCTCTGACGGTGATGGTTGGGCTTGATGGCGAGCACGTTGTGCCAGCGATGGTTGGGCCCAGTTGGGATTGTGTTGCAATGGTGGCGTTTGAGTTTAGCTGTGGTGGCGCTGCGGTGGCGGCGGGGGGGGCCGGCTGCGATTACGTGGTGAAGGTGGTGGTTGGGTTTGGCAGTGCCAGCTCTGCCACCCAGCCAGCCGCGCTGACCGTGCTGCCCCCTCTCCAGGCTCTGACTACGACTGCTACTCGGTGAATGGTGACGTGGAGTGCGACCCCCAGAGCGACTTCGACAAGTCCTCCACCATCCCGCGCAACAGCAACATCGCCCAGAACTACCGGCGGATGATCCAGACCAAGCGTCCTGCCTCCACCGCCGGGCTGCCCACCGGCACCAACCTACCGACCGGCACCACCCCGGGGGTGGCCACCATCCGCCGCACGCCCTCCACCAAACCCTCGGTCCGCCGTACCCTCTCCAACGCCGGTCCCCTCCCCATCCGACCCC